CATAATACAGAACTTTGCATAGTCAAAACTAATCAAGTCTAGCAGTTTACAAGGATTTACCAATCTGGACCGTTTAAAAGATAAAAGACAGGATCATGTAGACCCAAATTCAAAACCGCCCAATCTGGCAACACTGACCCCAGAGCAAGTGTGGGGTGTGAGAGCGGGTTTCTCAAACCTGCAATAAAATCATTCAGGTCTTCAGCCAGTTTTTGATTCGTCACAGTGGGATCACAGCCCCTGGGATGGTGTCTTATGGCTGGTGATGGCTTTCAGGCCTTTCCACACTGATGCAGGATTGGCTGAAAACTGTAGCTTCTCTGGTCACTCTGATATCCTTTGTCGGTGTGTTTCCGGCCTGTTTGTACAAGGCTTTGTCCCCAATCCTGTATGCATCCTTTTTGGCTTGGCAAAGCTGTTAGTTTTGTGGTAAACCATGGTTCATCATTGATATATAATAAATAAGTCTTAGTGGGAACACACGTCTTCACAGAAACTGATGTCACTGTGTGCGCGAGCTCATGCAGATTAGTGGCAGCAGCTTTGAAAACACTGCAACTGGTGCATTTGAAACAGGCTTGTAGTGCCCACTTTGTTTTGTTAGCCCACTGGTGGGCGATATGTTGTTGAGGTGATGTTATCCGGTATGTATTGTTCATTGTAACTTGTGTGTGTCTCCACCCTGTTCTACAGACACATAATTACCTGGACCAAAATGCCCTAGGCCTTGCATATTGTTAACACTCTCAAAACCGTGGCTTTATTAACCGTTATTAACTATCCTGTTGATTTTCAAGCTGTTTCAAATACTGGTTAAACACTAAAATTATGAGATTTAAGAATCAGTGTTCACTCAAAATTGAACACTCATCTTTTGAATCATCCAAGGAAATGGAGTGACAGCTCCATGCAATCAGAATTAGATGGTGTCTTAATGCAACCACTCAATATTTGAAACTATAGCAAAGGAGATGGTCAGCTGTGGCCACAGGAATTCATGTGTAAATGACAAAAGTAAAGAAAAAGACTTGAGGCAAAGAAGTTCATATTGTAGAACATAATACAGAACTTTGCATAGTCAAAACTAATCAAGTCTAGCAGTTTACAAGGATTTACCAATCTGGACCGTTTAAAAGATAAAAGACAGGATCATGTAGACCCAAATTCAAAACCGCCCAATCTGGCAACACTGACCCCAGAGCAAGTGTGGGGTGTGAGAGCGGGTTTCTCAAACCTGCAATAAAATCATTCAGGTCTTCAGCCAGTTTTTGATTCGTCACAGTGGGATCACAGCCCCTGGGATGGTGTCTTATGGCTGGTGATGGCTTTCAGGCCTTTCCACACTGATGCAGGATTGGCTGAAAACTGTAGCTTCTCTGGTCACTCTGATATCCTTTGTCGGTGTGTTTCCGGCCTGTTTGTACAAGGCTTTGTCCCCAATCCTGTATGCATCCTTTTTGGCTTGGCAAAGCTGTTAGTTTTGTGGTAAACCATGGTTCATCATTGATATATAATAAATAAGTCTTAGTGGGAACACACGTCTTCACAGAAACTGATGTCACTGTGTGCGCGAGCTCATGCAGATTAGTGGCAGCAGCTTTGAAAACACTGCAACTGGTGCATTTGAAACAGGCTTGTAGTGCCCACTTTGTTTTGTTAGCCCACTGGTGGGCGATATGTTGTTGAGGTGATGTTATCCGGTATGTATTGTTCATTGTAACTTGTGTGTGTCTCCACCCTGTTCTACAGACACATAATTACCTGGACCAAAATGCCCTAGGCCTTGCATATTGTTAACACTCTCAAAACCGTGGCTCCCTTCATGGACCTGACTAATTATTAACTATCCTGTTGATTTTCAAGCTGTTTCAAATACTGGTTAAACACTAAAATTATGAGATTTAAGAATCAGTGTTCACTCAAAATTGAACACTCATCTTTTGAATCATCCAAGGAAATGGAGTGACAGCTCCATGCAATCAGAATTAGATGGTGTCTTAATGCAACCACTCAATATTTGAAACTATAGCAAAGGAGATGGTCAGCTGTGGCCACAGGAATTCATGTGTAAATGACAAAAGTAAAGAAAAAGACTTGAGGCAAAGTATAATGTGATAGAGGATGCACATAATGTGGACAATCAGATTTGGCCCATATTCAGCTGCACTGTAAACATTACCCTTAATTTTTTCTCCACCACTGACAGAATTTTCCGGCTATCTTGTCTTTAAAAAAACCAAAACGATAGGGGGCACTATTACACAACTACTGAATAAGTACAGACTCTTCATATCAAAACACAAAGAAGCAGAAGCAAGCAATAGCATACATAAGCAGATGCATATGTAAAATAATGCAATCATCAACATTGAACAGCATATAGATCAAAACTGCCTAACATTACCAAATGAAATGACAACCCAGGAAATAGTAGCCTATAGGACTGTCCTAGTCTCAGCCTCAGACGTCATGCCCACAGACCGTTGGCTGAATGTTTGAAGCATATCACACACAAAACTGAAAACTCTTCAGGAGTTTCGAAGTCATTATCGGATTGGTTGAATTATACAGGATTTTCAGGAAACGTGTGTTCCGTCTGGAAACAAAGATGCCATGATGCCAAACCCCCTCATGGAAGAAGAAAGCTGTTGTGTTTACAACTGTGACTATGAGCACTTAACTAAATGCTGGATTTTCAAAAGTATGTGAAATATTTAAAGTTCGAAGCACAGAATCTTATATGTCAGTCTGTTATTGTGGGGACATTTCCACACCCCTAAACATGACGCGGCCCGAAACGAATCATGATTGTTTGCTTTACCTGTCAGTCATATGGCCTCTTTGGCTTGCCTCAGCCATTCAAAGCAGCCAAGGTTCTGCTGTCAGTCTGAAGGTCTGGCTACATAAGATTAGGACTGTGCAAGAGGGATGCACAATAATATCGGACTGATATCGGAATCGGCCGATAATGGATTTAAATGTAAATATCGGCATCGGCCCGATATGAGTCATTATCGGATTGGTTGAATTATACAGGATTTTCAGGAAACGTGTGTTCCGTCTGGAAACAAAGATGCCATGATGCCAAACCCCCTCATGGAAGAAGAAAGCTGTTGTGTTTACAACTGTGACTATGAGCACTTAACTAAATGCTGGATTTTCAAAAGTATGTGAAATATTTAAAGTTCGAAGCACAGAATCTTATATGTCAGTCTGTTATTGTGGGGACATTTCCACACCCCTAAACATGACGCGGCCCGAAACGAATCATGATTGTTTGCTTTACCTGTCAGTCATATGGCCTCTTTGGCTTGCCTCAGCCATTCAAAGCAGCCAAGGTTCTGCTGTCAGTCTGAAGGTCTGGCTACATAAGATTAGGACTGTGCAAGAGGGATGCACAATAATATCGGACTGATATCGGAATCGGCCGATAATGGATTTAAATGTAAATATCGGCATCGGCCCGATATGAAAAATTATGCCGATATGTCTTGCTGATAAGAGGAATGCGTTAACTTGCATGTGCTCAGGGTGTGCTAGAGATTAGTTCACGTCAGCGGTGTGGCTCATTCTTGAAGAAAAGTTTTGTCTGAATGATGATTAGATATATCATCCAGCACATACAGAATGACGCGTTCGGTGTGTGATAGAGTAAACTGTAATAGCACGTGCAGCGGCAGCCTCCCCAGGGTCCTAACACTCGTTCGGTAAGGAGTTTTAATCTGTAGGGGGCGCTGTTGGCCTAATTCTAATTCAATTAAAAGTAAAATAGCCTACCAAAATAACATTTAGACTGTGTTTCTGAATAAATAAAGCAGTAATTGATGTCATAAAATAATGAGCATGTTTTGATTTAAAGGTCAGAGTCTATAGCTTACATGAGAAAAAAATCAAACATGACACTTGTAAATTAATTTTATATATACTGATTTATTCATTAATGTGTAATATGTTTTATTTTTTAAACAAATCATAAGCTCTAAAAGATTTTATGAATTTTTACAGCTCTTTTGCTTTAGACCAGTGTTTCTCAACCCTGGTCCTGGGCGCCCCCCAGCACTGCACATTTTGTGTGTCTCCCTAATCAAACACACCTGATTCAACTCATTAGCTCATTAAAAGAGCTCAGGACCAGGGTTGAGAAACACTGCTTTAGACCATCTACAAATGTTAAATCTTAAAATAAAATTTTAGGGTTAACACTGCATCTTTCTAGGAAAAAAATGCAGCGATTGATATATAGTTTATTTAGGCTATAGTTATTTTCAAAGCTTCAACGTACCGTCAAAAAACCTTCATGGTTGTTTATTTAATTCTAACAAGTTCTTGTTAAAAACTAACCAAAATTAAAAATATTTTGCTTATAATTTCTGCACAGGAGAGACTTGGTGTTGTTTCCAAACAAAAGGAAATGTATCGGTATCGGTCAAAATGAGTTGAAAAATATCGGCTTTTCGAATATCGGCAAAAATCCAGTATCGTGCATCCCTAATATTGATGGAAGCAATCTAATCCATCAATGTTTTTATCATCATTCTGTATAGGATCCATACATACTCTTTGACTAAGATGCGATTATCTCTTATTTATTTTTCAAAATGTTATCTTTCATGTGTTGATTTAAAAAAAACAAAAAAACATAAAGCTAGAATAAAATGTTTGTTTATTTGTTTAAAAGCAGAGGCTCTGTTCTTTTGACATACTGAATATTCAGATATTCATACAACAAAGTATTTTGGGGGCCATGACAATTTTGTGAAAATTGTCTAAATTGCTAGCAGTGACTGGCAACTTTTTTTAAACATTGATGGGAAATAAATAATTTTACATAGATGCATATTTTCTGGTGACATTTTAAACTGCAGAGCCAGTTAAAACCTCTTTCTACACACACATACAAGCACAAAATAGGGTCTCGCATCTGCATGACTTTTTAATTTTGTGATTTTTTTTTTTTCATTACAATCATTACAACACTGAGGAACACTGCAATGTCTTGCCAGAATGAGTTTGCAAATGTTGCTTAAGGTCTCTTTGATATGTAAAACTCTTTTCACATTGAAGACATGAGAAAGGCTTCTCTCCAGTGTGAAGCCTTATGTGAGTCTGAAGGTTTCCTTTTTGTGAGAACTTCTTCCCACAATATTTGCAGGTGTAAGGGGTCTCTCCAGTGTGAGTTCTCATGTGGGAATCAAGGGATGGTTTATATGTAAAACTCCTTCCACACTGAGGGCATGAATAAGGCTTTTCTCCAGTGTGGATTCTCATGTGATTCTTGAGGCTTAATTTATGACAGAAATTTTTCTCACATTGATGACATGTAAAACAGTCCTCTCTTGAGTGAATTTTCATGTGGTAATTAAGGGTAACCTTGCGTGTGAAACTCTTTCCACACTGATCACATGTGAACAGCTTCTCTCCAGTGTGACTTATCGTGTGAGAATTAAGGTTGTTTTTGTGTGTAAAATTCTGTCCACACAGTTTGCACGTGTAAGGCTTTTCTCCAGTGTGAATTCTCATGTGGACTTTAAGGTTTATTTTTTGAGTGAAACTGCTTCCACACTCTTGGCAGGTGAAAGAGCTCTCTCCAGTGTGAATTCTTGTATGGACTTTAAGGTTTTGTTTTTGAGTGAAACTTTTTCCACACTGTTGACAGCTGAAAGGTTTCTCTCCAGTGTGAACTCTCATGTGGACTTCAAGACTATGTTTTTGATTGAAACTCTTTCCACATTGACGGCAAGTGTAGTTAGATTTAGATTTGGTCTTCCGAGCTCTTTTTCGTGAGGTCTTCTTAGCCTGCGTGGATTTTTCTCCAGTCAGGAAATCATGATTTTTCTTATCTTTTTTTCCCATTTCACTCAGTTCTTGACTCTCCTCTTTCAGCAACATCAGGTCTAAAGCAAAAAAGACAAATACAAGTTAATCCCAGTTTAAAGGTACAACAGACATCAAAACCAATATAAAACCATTAAAGCAATGCAATCATGTTTGCTAGATTCTATACTCACTAAGCTACTGAAAGAGGTTACCCAAGATCTCAGAACTTAACCATTTTACGTCATCAGAATAATGGCGCCCCCCATAGTCCAATATATGTATAAAACGATGTGATTTTTAAAATAACATAAATCTTTAATGGGTCTTCTACTACATATTTCAGGAAGAGACATCATTTATGTTATATTAAGCCATACAAGTCTTAATACCCAGGGATCCCTTTAAAATGAACTCTTCACACTTTTAGAACATGTCCAGAAAAAAAAAAAAAAAACATCCCAATAGAAAGTCCAAGAGATCGTTTACAATCTATCTCAGAGACTTGAGAATTTCTCCTGACGCCCCCAAGTTTATTACGGGTGATTATAGTAATGCTAAGAAGAGTTTGTGCACATATTATCAATATGTTGACTGTCCAACAAGGAAGAACAAGACTCTAGATATGTGCTACGGAACTGTTAAAAACGCTTATATCTCGTCAGTTCTCCCGCCATTGGGAGCGTCTGATCACAGTGTGGTCTATCTTCGTCCTGTCTACCAGAGGCTACTTGAAAGGGAGAAGCCTCAGGAAAAGTCTGTTAAAGTATGGGACAATGACAGTATAATGGCTCTGCAGGGGTGTTTTTAGTATAGTTGATATTAATGAACCGGTTGAAACAGTTACTGATTATATAAATTTCTGTACGGATTCTGTCATTCCCACTAAGACTTTTAAGGTATACCCTAATGACAAACCCTGGGTGTCTAAAAACTTAAAGACCCTTATAAACAAGAAAAGAAAGGCATATAGAAATCAGGATGAGGTGGCTCTGTGGGACACACAGAGGCAGATTAAAATACAAATAGATAAACACTCATACAAACAAAAAATAGAGGCATCTTTTATACAAGGTAACTCTCGATACGCTTGGCAAGGGATTAAGAATATGACAAATATACCCCATAACGGAAGATGCAAACCATCTCCGGTGCTGCATGGATGTGAGGAGCTGGAGATGGCAAATCAGTTTAACTCGTATTATTATTATTGCTTGGCCCTAATCCTCTTTCGTAAATAACAGACCATGCAAAATACCCAAAAATATTTAAAATATTGCAAAGTAATGTTGCAACCAAGCCGCAACCTCCCGCTCTCTCTCGTGAAGCCAACAAGGTAGTGGGTCACGGACACTACGTCCATTGTTTTTATACAGTCTATGGTTGCAACCTTACAAATAGGGTGGGGCGATTTGGCAAAAAAATTTAAATCTCGATTTTTTTCAAAACGTTTGACCGATTCTCGATTTTTTTACGATTTTTAACTAGTCAACTTGAAAATGTAACTACAACATGATTCAAGTAACTTTTTCTTTATTAACCCAAAAAATTATATTCCAAGTTCACCACACATGAAGTTGCCAACATTATGTAAATGTTAAACAAATCACTTGTTAAATATCTTTGCAGAAAAGATGCTTGAACTACAACAACATATTGTACAAACTTGTACTGTTGCACATACTTTTTTATTATGTGTTCAGAAATAATATGAGGAAAATGCTTTAAAAAATCTCAAAAGTCAAGGTAATTCAAATTCAAAATGACTGAAGGTATAACACAAGTAGACTATTATTAACGTTAATTATACACGCTAACGTTAATTAATGTTCTGAAAAACAGCAGCTATCAGCCTGTCACCATGATGCAAACATGAAATATTAGACATACAGTGGTAGTTACAGGTTTTTTATTAGCTTGTGCTGCTTTTCTATTGGTTTTTTTTTCTATGTAAACATGGTTTGACTGTTGCACTCGCATCTCTTGCAGCGTGTCATGCGTGAAACGGCATTCTAAAAACGCAGCGCTCAAGTTAAAAGAAGTTCACTCCAATCTTGCATGTTTTTTCTATTCCTCTGCCCACGTCACATCTAGTCAACACAAAAGTGCATTCTGTGTGAATGGCGCCTAGCGATATACAGTATTCTACTTGCGGTCCTTCACTGAGTGCGTCACATCTGAGAGGTTAATCACGTGCGCCGACATGTGGTTGGATCGTTCTTCTCTCTTTACTGTTATCATTGGCATATTGTCAAAGTGTCTAATTCTAACGTTTGGTAATATTTCTATTCAAAATCACGATTCCTCGATTTCTAAAAAATAAAATTGTGGCAAAACACTAAATTCGAATTAATCGATAAAATCTGAAAAATCGCCCAGCCCTACTTGCAAACAATAATAAAATCAGAGGACTTTAACTGTAAGTGACACGAGCATATGCAAAACTTTTCAGTGGGCTTTTAAAATTTTCTTTGCTTGAGAAAACAAAAATATACAGTTACAGTGGTTTTTTTTCTTTTGATTTAGTCGAGTTGGTTTTGCATCAAACACAATGTGATTTTCGGCAATCGAGATCTGACAGCAACAGCACATTTTTCCGCTTGGATAAGCGCTTCGCGGACAGCTAACCTCGCGCATGAAATCAGCCGCAGACCAGCAAAACACTGAGAACGCACCACAATCCTGACGAGTCATAGCAACAGAGCGGAGGCGAGAAAGCTGCGGAGAATCCACTCGCACGGAAGCAACTGCAACTGGTAGATTTAAAGAAAATTACTGCCGTTTGGCAAATAAATCATTGTACGTGCTTATTCCTAACTCTTTAAGCTTTGTTACATTTCAAATGTCAAGGAATCAACTTATAATCATGTTTATATGAATTATCCCGTGAACTTATTCTCTCAAATGGCCTGGGTATGCGGAGCATTCGCAGCTTATATGGACTGAACGCCACTGCTATATATCATTGTTTGCGGTGCATCACAATAATCGTGTCACCTTCAGTGCTCACTTGTGAGCACTGCAGATAGCAATGTGCTGTAACGTCTGCTTGCTCGTGTCCATCTGTTTTTAACTCTCATGCACTTTTTGCACGATGCAATTTATAAAATAAAAAAAGATGTTTTTGTAGACTTTTCCAGTCTTGAGTGGATCTGTGTGCGGTTAGCCACTCTCTTGTTCATTTTCAAGTATCCCATTGGCTCTATGCACCTGCAGTAAAAGGACTTATTTTTTCCTGTTTGGAGCGCTACAGTTTTCTCAAGCTTTACAAGTATTGCTCTGAAACAGTATTGACAACGAATCAGTTAAATTCACTCTACCAGTCAAACACCTGAGGTTGAATGGCAGGGTTTTATGTTTTGCCACTTTTACAGACTGAAACATATTTCTTCCTCCTTTAAAAGGCTGTATTTCACTGGCTGAGGTATAATGCGGCATGCATCTCTCACTCTTTGCCTGCGGGCTCTGAATATCAGACTGTAGCCATGACCATTGACAGCTCTTGGGAACGAGCATTTTTGCATGTATATAATTATAATAAGCATTTAAAAGTTGTGTTTTTATTGTTCTGTTGTAACATCTCTCTTGACAACTGAATGAACTCTTTGTGAATAAATGTTATTTTGGTCAAGAAAAATGAACATTAATAAAAGACATCAAGCCACATCGTCTGACATTTTTTACATATAAAGATTATTATTTAAAAATATGAATTGTTCTGCTGCGTTAACTCCACTTTTATACTTTGTGAGAGTTAGGTTGAGACAGATGTGCGAATGTGTGGTTTGTTCCCGACTCTGTCAATCAAACGCAGATTCGGCAGGTATGCCCGTCTCGAAACACTTGTGAAACGTAGTCACGTGACACGGGTGTTTCGAATCACACTTCGGAGCAGTGTTTCGAAACATCTGTGCTTCGGGATCTCGACACCGTGTCGACACATCGGTTACGCGTCAGCCATCCCTACCAGGATGATGAAGATCAAACAAGGGTGGACATTTCAGCAAGACAATGATCTCAAACACAGCCAAGGAAACTCTCAATTGAAAATAAAGCTGCTAGAATGCCACATCAAAGTTTAATGTCAACTGACTTGAATCCAATAGAAAATAAGAACTAAAGATCAGAGTTCATAGAAGAGGCCCACAGAACCTTCAAGATTTGAAGACTCTGTGGAGGAATGGGCCAAAATCACACCTGAGCAATGCATGCGACTAGTTTCTCCTACAGGAGGCGTCTTGAAGCTGTCATTACCAACAAAGGCTTTTGTACAAAGTACCGTATTGGCCCGAATATAAGACGACCCCCCCCCTTTTTCTAGATGTACCTTTTGGAAAAAGGCTTTTTAAAAACCAAATCCCTGTGTCATTCCATTTTATTACACAGAACTTAATTTCTGAACTTATTTGTATTGTTTTCTTTGTATGTATGGATTTCTTGGGTTGTTACCGACATCTGGCGAAAATTTCATGTCAACAACACCTTAAGAAATATATTTACTGGGGAAAATGGTGACGTGTTCAATACTTATTTTACCCGCTGTATATGTTAACATCTCAAAAAATGTGTTTTAGGGTTTCATGACACTTTAAAGGCAGCATTAGTGTTTGTCTGGTCATGTGATCTCAACATGTCAAAATTTTAATAAGGATCAAAGCTCGCCTTAGAAAATGGAAACTAACCTGTTTGTTCCTCAGTATCTTCATGTTTGACTCTGAATGCTTCTTCAATCTTCATGTCTTCACTCTCCTCTTTAATAAATGCCATCTTTATAATAGTGTCACGTGGATCTCAGTTACTTCACCAGGAGTTGTTCTGTGTGTGTGAACACACTGTCATGTTTAATATGAGAATAATTTACAATAATAAAATTTAATCCAAATTAAATCCAAACTATGGATGCATCTCACTCAGCTCCCTAGTTCTGCAGTCAGGATACTGGCAAGTTGTCAGTCAAAACAATGGTTTTCTTCAGTTGGCCTGATTAGCCAGGCACTCCCAAAAGAACACTCAAAATTAACACTACAAAGCATTAAAATAAATAAAGGATTACATATAATAGATTAATAATTTATAATGAAAACAAAATTGTAATTAATTGTTTCATAAACGTTGCCATGCAATATTTGTTGTTATCGTTTCATTTACAGTGTTTTGAGCAGCATGTGTAGTAAGCGTGTCGTTGTATTTTATTTATATATATATATATATATATTTGACGGTCTCTATGGCGTGCAGTGATTCATTTTGAGAAGCAATTGGTTCAATTGACTCGGAGTTTCTGAAAGCTCCGTTTCTCCATCACTACTTGCCAGTGCCTACATTCGTGTTTAAGGTAAACTGATTCACTATATACAGAGTTATAGAGCGAAATGAGACACATTTTCTGCTTTTCACGCGTGGATGAGCTTTGTTCAAAGAAACAACGTTTATATATGTTAGCTAAAAAAAATTTACTTGCTATTGAATGTAACGTTATAACATTTATCATTGCTTGTAAAAACTATAAAAACAATAAAACAGTTTGCATCGATTTAATTATCGTAAACTCCAAAATGCTCAAACAATTTAAACCGTAAACCTTTCTGCAGCAGAATCAGACGCAGCAGCACGGAGCAGCCTTTTGACGTCATGTCACCAGACCAAAATAAAAGTCTTGTTTAAACGCTAGATGTCTAAAATGATCGAGAGTATACATATTTACATACATTAAATTGATTCCAGAGTAATTCAGAGTTGAACGCTTGGTTAAACTGTTAAACACTTTAACGTTAGACTGTTGGACAGTTTAAAATTTCTTTTAATTTACGACCTAACCCTAAACGTCAGCTTATAAGCGTGCGTGTGCGTGCGTGCGTGCGTAACGTTACGTACTTTTATTTTGGTCTGAGGACGCCATAAGCCTGCGCTCTTGTGCCTGTTGTGATGTGATTCTGCTACAGAAAGGTTTGTGTCTTTAAGCATTTAAAGTGTTTAAAGTTTTTACAACTGTTCAGGCAGTTTTGCACTTGAATTTAACGTTATAATATCTCATTTACCATTTAATAGCGCTATTTATTTTTGTGAGTAAAGCACATACACAAAAGGTGCGTCTCATTACGCTCCCTAGACCTCACGTAGTACGCATTTGTCAAGTCCAAGAACATACAATTTGCACAGCTTTCAATACTGATTTATTTATTTATGTATTTGTTTATTATATTTGTATTTATTGTTATTGTTAATATTTTTTTCCCCCGCTGGAGTTTTACTGTCTGGCAGAGTTTAACTCCAGCCTTAATTAAACACACCTCAACCCCTCATTCAGGGGTTTCTTTGTGCTGAAGCAGGTTGGAAACTTTGCAGGACAGCAAAGTAAAATTTCAGTTTCAAGTGAGCTTGTGTTGAGACATGCAAAGGAACTAAATGTCATGCCTCTCAGGTCCATATGTAAACATATATGAACAAACATAAAACAAAGAAATATATAAACATACAGTTGAAATATTTCTGGTGCAGTATGTGGGGGTTTGAACAGGGTTCAGAGGGGAGCGGGGTGATTGGAGTTGAACCACAAACCACAGTTTGTTTTGTTTCAAATCAGTGGAGCTTGTAACGGCAGAGCGCGTACACACCTCACGCACCGGATACCGTGCGCGCGCCCAAAGACGGTTGGACATAGTGGTGTATTAGAGGTAACTTGGATGCCCTAGGGGTAAGCAGATAAACATCAAATTTTCATTTTTGGGTGAACTATCTCTTCAAGGCTGATGATACACGGGGCAACTTTTTTTACACACTTCATTTTTTTCGGTTATTTAAGTGCATCATACAGGTATTCAAAGTGCACTTTTTCTTTTTGGAATTACTGAAGTATTTTACCTGTACTGAATGTGGCTCAAAGATGCAGTAGTCCTCATCACCTAAACAGTTCATTTGTGAGAAAAGCCATCGTTTATTTTCTAAAATAGAAATAAAACTGGACACCTCAATAGTGTAACACATCAAGGTTGACACAACAGCATCTAAATAAAGCAATAATCCCCAATAAGCTGTGGTTTACAGTGAATTTAGAAATCAAAGGGCCCTTGTTAGGCATGACATAGAGCAGAGTGCCCAAAAACCCCTTATGAAGAGGAAGAAGCCCTCCCTTTAAGTCAAAATTCATAACAAAATCTAACAGTTTAAAACTTTGCATCTTTGGTGCAATGCTAATAGCAGAATGGTTGGCAAGCAACACTGTGACAGTATTACTGGTGTAATTAAATCATAGATATGTATTTCTAGAGTAATTTAATAGCTTTGAACGTGGTTCAACCATTCATAATCAAGTACCACAACTACACTCAAAAAAATAATTAATTGGATGAACTCAATTTAATTGAGGGCAAGATTTCCATCCAAAAGGTGTGTGTAGCCCCAACTCATAAAAAACTAATTCATGCGATGAAATGTAATTGAGTTGGGCCAACACAATTTGATCAAATATAGTTTAAATGAAATTGATACATTGATGAAGGGATTTTTTTATGCTTGTTGAACTCAAACTAAAACATTTAACTAGAAACTAAATTATTAGGCGGACAACCTTCTACACTCAAAAAAATGAAACCTTGGATTTACTTAACTTTAGGCATTAGCCAACTTTTTCGGGCATTTGTCAGCGAGTGAAAAATTGGGCTAAAATCGTGCAGTGTGAACTCAGCATTAGGCAGCATGCCCAAAATTGTTGTTTTTTATTATTAAAACAACTTTGATTCATGTTAGCAGGTCCTCAACCCAAGCACAGGCACTATACTTTACCACAATGGTAACCCCCAAAAACACTTAAATACCAGAAACTGTTTTATATACACTCAACTGATGTTATGAAGTGAGTTTGGAGTAAAAACGTTTAATGTTGTATTTTCACGTGCTTTCAGACGGAGCAGTATTTACTACACAGAGCCATAGTTCACTGAGAAGCTACGCAAACAGCTTTCATTATTGCGAACGATTTCATAATCGTACGATTATATTGTCTGCAATTTTTTTGTGTAGCTTGTCAGAACTACGGCTCTGTATAATAAATGCTGCTTCATCTGAAAGCAGGTGATGGAGATTTACTACTAATCACAGAACCGGCTTTACTGACAAGATGTGCATGACAATCGCATTCGATTAATCGTGCAATGCTTCTCCTAATTATTCATGTCTCAAACTGCTCGAATCACTGCAATGCTGGTCAAAACAGTGCATGCCAAATGTCAATCATAAAGGTGTAAATATAATTTTTTTGGGCTATTCAGACCTTTTAAGACCATTAATTATCATTTTGACTTACCCCCTTATGTGCTAATTTAGGGAGCTGATTGACACACACCAGAAGATTTAGTTTTTCTTCTTCTTCTTTTTGTTAATTATTCTCATTTTAAACATGACAAATTGTCTAAACACACAGAGAAACTCCTGGTGAAGTAGCTGAGATCCACATGACACGTTAAAAGATGGCTTTTATTAAAGAGGAGTGTGAAGACATGAGGATTGAAGAAGCATTCAGAGTAAAACATGAAGATACTGAGGAACAAACAGGTAGGTTTCCATTATTAAAATGTTGAAATTAA